TATTTTATTATTAAAAAAATTAAGCATTAACTGTTCCTTTCCATAGATCAGCAGAAATCCACAATACAGTTATCCAGACCATCCTGCTCACATGCATAGATATATCTCTCCCCCACCTCCTCTCCTGTCCTTCTCAGCTCAGTAGTTCTTTTTCAAAAGGTTCATTCCCTTTTCCAAGTATCTAGTGCACCCTTCAGATTTTATTTTCTCTTTCAGATTCTCACATTAAGTCAGTAATACGATGTTTGCACATGCAGATTTGAGTTATTTCACATAAGACTTTGTTCTCCAGTTGCATCTGTCTACCGATAAAAGCCTCACATTTAGTCTTCTTATAGCTGAATAATAATCCATTGTACAAAATACCACATCTTCTTTATCCATTTTTCAGTTGATGGGCATTTGAGTTGCTTCCAAGATTTAGCTATGACAAATTGTGCTGCTATAAACATGGGTTCACATATATTTCAGTGATATAGTGTTTTCAGTTGTTCTGAAAAAATACCCATAAGGGGAACTGCTTGATAAAATGGGACCTCCAATTCTAGCTTTTTGAGGAATCTCTACACTTATTTCCTTAGTGGTTGTACCTGTCTGCACTCCCACGAGCAGTGCAAACGGGTTCCTTTTTCCCCACAGCCCCTCCAGCATTGGTTATAGGCTAACTTCTTGATGATAGCCATTCTTCTGCGCTGAGATGGAATCACAGAGCTGTTTTATTGGCATTTCTAAAATGACCAATGATGTTGAACATTTTTTCATATATTTAATTGGCATTTATATTTCTTTCTCTGAGAATTATGTATTCATCTCAGATACCCACTTTTGGATTGTGCTTGAGTTTTGAGGGACTGAAAGTTTTTAAGTCTTCATATGTTCTTGATAGAAGGCCTTTGTCAGAAGGACAGTCACATAAGGGCTTATAATGACTTGCTTTTAAGAGGTAAGGTCTGGACAGAAGTAAGTCTCTGAGGGCATGATCTGCAGGAGCTTATCTCCTGCCCTGACTCCTCCCTTCACTTGCTCTGCTCTTGGCTACCTTGAGGGGAGGCACTTTCCTTTCGATGCCGACCTGACTTGTAGCCAAGCAACTGTGGACTGAAATATGAGATGAAATAAAGCTCTCCCCATTTTTAACTTCTGAGTGCAAGGTATTTACCACATCAAACACAGCTCTTGAAACTCCAGAGGGAGGATGGCAGGAGATGAACAAGACAGGAATCATTATGGAAGAGCTGAGATCAGATGAGCCCCTTCTCATGATAGGAGAATGGAACTGCACAGTACCTACAGTTAGTTTATTGATACAATCAGAAGAGGAACAAGTTCACAGATACTTTAAGGGGAATGTAGAATCTGGGACAGGAATATTGCCTACTCTGTAACAGAACATCATGCCTCAGTGGCTTAGTGAAGAGCAAGAGAAAACTGTGTGTATTATCTCAAGTGAAGGACGAGTCACTAAGTGTGTCAATTCCCTGAGATGTGTCCACTTCTCAGGGGCCCTGCCACACACATGATAGCCAGCAGCCTTGTCCTGGATACCTGAGGTACTGACGGCTTCAGCCCCAACAGTCATGTGTCTCAGCAACAAATAAAGTGGCTAAAACACATGTTGTCCAAGTAATTGTAATAGAAAAAACAAAGCACTTATCTTTCTATATGTTAACTGAAATGTCTTCATTATGTTATATCAGTAAACATTTTTATGATCTTATTATTTGTATCCAGTGTTTTATACATATTATTAAAATGCTCAAGTTTTATGTTTTGTGTACATTTTTCTAATCAACTTTAGCCCTGACTAGTTTAGCATAAAGTCTTGAACAAGAAAATAAAATATTTTATGGTATGTTTGTGAAAAGGGAGTTATTTTACATCATGATTAATACTAAAAAGGGATTATAAACTCAGATTGAAGAAAGAAATACAAGGTCTTTGAAGAAACATGATTATAAAGGAGAGACACTTGTTCCATAAGAAAATTTAAAGAAAATTTATCCCCTAATTTTAGGTAGAATGTAATTTATTGTATTTTATTTTATTTTACTGAGAAACAAATAGCAATGAGACAGTTTCAAAACTGATTAATAAGACAGTTTCAATAATAAATACATTGCACATTGTTGTCTTCTTAGTTGTTATCCATAGTACAAGATGCAGACAGTATATCCTGTCTAAACACTGTTAGTACAAATCTTTCTTCTCATTGAATTAAGCAAAAGTAGCTGTATATCTATCCTAACTATCTGCATATACAGATACAAAATGGTCTTTCCTTTGTATCCCCTTTTTTTGTTTTGTCCTGTCAGAGGTGGGTATTCCATAGCCATCTAAATACTATAGGTGTGTAAATTCAGCAAAACAATTCAACACAGTCCAACAGTCCACAATAGTAGTTGGTTATCTGCAGAAGTTGTTGATTTGAGCCTTTTGCAGCTCAGCATATTAATATGCAATTTTACAGAAAGAAATATGGTGGGAACTCTCTGGACCAAAACCCGGGCACGTCGCGTGAGTGAGACCCTCTGCTGTGTCCTCAGGACCCCTCTGGAACCTCCCACCCAAGTCTGCCCAGTGAGTGAGAACTTCTGCCTCACATTCAGAACCATTCAGATCCAACCCAAGCCCAAGCCCAGCGCATGTGTCAGAGAAGTTCCAGCTCCCATGAGCCCACTGGAATTCTCCAGACCAAAACACAGGCACGCCACATGAGTGAGACCCAATGTCGCACACTTGCAACCCCTCCAGAGCACCACCCCCCTCAGCGCACCGAGAGAATGAGAACTTCTGATGCACATGCAGGACACCCTAGATCCAATCCAAGCCCAGGCCCTGAGAGTGTGTGGGAAAGTTTCTGTACTCCCCTGTGCCCCCTAGGCCAGAAGCATGACAGAGGGGTGCAACAGGTTCATTTCTTAGGGCTGCATCAGGAAGGAGCTGAGCACAACAACTAGACCCAAACCAGGCACAACTGGATAAACT